TTTGAGACCCCTGGTGTAAGGGGTTCCAGGTAACGTTCCTGATACGAACATTCTACAGGCAGGGTGCCACCACTGAGGGGATCTGATCTATCATTGTAATTCACCCGTATCTGTCACAGTGGGAAAACCTTAGGAAGGCCATTTGATAATTGCTCCAGTTCAGAGGCAGGCTTATATATCCCTTTTAGACCTTTGGATATTTATTCTTAAGCTGTAAAGGACTTCAAAGATAACCCAGCACCTCGAAATGGACCTTGAGAATGGCTGGGAATCAATGAAGTGCAAGCATGGAGGAAACAAAGTCCCATCTCTTCCTCCTTGTTCCCTAGTCTTATGACCACGTTAAATTTTGCCTCTTAATGTTTCAGAAGCTGAAGGGATTAATTGTCTTTTAGAGTGAGGAACATTTGGACCAAAACTTATTCAGGGATTTCTAAGAAAAGAGGTGAAGAAGAGTAAGAAATCCCACAGAAACAGTAAAGTAGGCATTTCCTTTGAGAGTGGATTTTTCTGTTTTGATTTTAAAGGCTTGGTCTGACTGTTGTCTCTGACTTTATCACAAAGAGGGAGAAGGCAGTCAGTGATGGTTTTCAATCTAGGCATCAGCAAGTTCATTCTAGAGATTATTAGCAACTGAGAGGGAACCTTCATATGTCCTTAACCTGAACGGGAAATTTGAGATGACTGGCTTTTAAAAAATGTGTTTGGAACTTCTGACCACCATCTCCTGTGTTAAACCATTTAACTGCAACCTCTGAGGGAATAATCTTCCAGATTTGACCTGCTTCCATCCACCCAGACTAGGCAGGAAAAAATATTAAAGACTTTCTCCCTCATATGAACTTTCCTAGGACAGCAAGGTGTGTCTCTTGAATGTCTGGTTTTGCTTTCAGCCCTGACTCCTGGCTTCTTTCCTTCTGTTTTCTTTTCCTGGTTCCTCTTTGGTCCAGATTTTGGACCACTCTTCCTTTTCCCCCTTCCCCCTTCCCCCTTTCATTCTTCCTTTTTCCCCTTTGGTCCTGACCAGGGTTTAGATGAGTACTTAAAAAAAATATTATATTTGGCAGTTCTCTAAGGCAAAATCTGGAGCCAGAGTCCCGGAGGCAGTTTGTGTTGTTCTGCCAACTCCTGCGACGTCGCTGGAACCAATTGTATTGGCTCTTGCCTTTCCATTGGACTATTTCAGAGAAGTGGAGAGGGGGGATTTTCTGGTTGGGTAACAGCCTATCCTCCATATTATTTTACCCAGGCTTCGTGCTCCAGAGAGGACACTCCAGCTTCGCATGCAGCGTTGAAACAACACAAAAAGGGATTGCCACTCTCGAATCGGCCTCCTCAGCCACACTAGACGCTGTTCCAAGTCCTCCATACAGAGCATGTTACCATAGTCTCTCGAACTGAAGGATGGCTAACTAACTAAGGCTCACAATGAGACTCTTTGCCAGACTTCTCGCTTCTGTCTTTTGTTCTACCTCCTTTGCATCACATTCAGCAGAAATCCTGGCATAGAATCCAGGGTGCTTTAGCACTAAGAAGGTGGTCATAGCAAATCACGAATACTTACAGCAGGTACCTCACTTCTCTTTGTTTCTGGTTTCATTACTCTCCTACATGTGGTAAGCAACCAGTCTGAAGAAGGCTAGCTTTCACTGTCTGTGAGGGCTCCATGTTACCATAGTCTCTCGAATTCCAACCCTGGAAAATCAGCATTCCAACTCCTCAGAGATGGCAGAAGCTCCCCTAGTTCTCCATGTGAAGAAGAGTGACAAAACTGGAAAAGGAGGTGGCAGGGCAAAAGAGTTCATTTCCACTCACGGTAAGTTTCCCTGATTTGCTAATGACTGAATAAGGTTATTGTAATCTCTGCCTAAACATTAGCCACTAAGGAAATAATAGAGGAGCGTGGGCTGGATAGGGTGACCAATATCAGGAGTGATATTTAGAAGAAGGAATTTCAACAAAGGTAGTTTTTGAAAGCTCTTCTATAGCATCAGAGTCTCCTCTTCTGGGCACCTATCAGAAAGGTACAGAATTAACTGTTCTATTTTTCACAACTGTGGTCTTTCTTGATTTTCTATCTATTTAGAGCTCACCTGCCCTTGGTTTCTGTTCATTTAGTTCCTATTAAAACATTCACCATGATTTCTCTGTTCTTCAAAAGATATAGAAAGCATTTTGGATGGCATAAATCTGTTTCCCCTGTGTTAGAAAACAGGATTTGACAACTTTTTCTTGTGTGTATTTTTAAAAATTCTCTTGAATGATACTTATGATCCAAGATGTCCCTGGATCATAATTTGGTTAATTTAGGCTGGATAGTTCAGTGACTTGGGTACCTGGCTGCAAACCACAGGTCAGGAGTTCAGTTTCCCACTCTGTGTCCTAGGAGAAGAGCAAGCCTGCATACCCTTTGGCACAGTCTCAAAGCAACCTCAGAAGAAAGGAACGACAAAGCACTCTATGTCTAGAAAACAAACCCTGGACAGGTTAGCCATAAATTGGAGTTGACTTAAGGCACATACTTATTAGTTAATATGACATAAATGGTTGAAAATTTGTTTTCTGTTGACAGTGGGCATTCTTTTCTGTTATGAAGTTTTCTATCTAATGCTTAATGGGGTGAATAATACAAAAATAAATGAACACAAGAATACAAATAAATCAAATAATGCCAATAATCAGTCAGTCATAAACAGTAATCCACCAGATTTGTAAGATGATTTAAAACTAATTACGATTGCTGAAGTAGGTCTTCTTTCAGCCAAGAGACAAGAAAGTTACTACCTCTCCTTCTGAACTTATGCACTATGTGGAATACTACTAATATGATCAGCCTGCTGGCTAGTACAGTGAGTTAGGTATCTGCTGTAGAGGGAGTTCAATTCCTTGCTGTTCCTCTTGGGAGAGGAGCCAGCCTATGTAGCCTTGGGCAAGTTAACACCCTCCCATGGTTAGATCATGTGTGTTCTCTAGCACAAAAATAGTGGGTCTGGCTTGCAAGAAAGAAAGTGTAATGCATTCTGCTAATGGAACTAATATGCTGAGGACATGAGAAAGAATCTTTTCAGGTGGGTCCTTCCAGGCTGCACAGCTCCTTCCAAGGGAGGCCAAGTTGGGTCCCTTCCTTGTTGCCCTTGCATGGGCAGTCAAAGACTGTTCTAATCAGAAAGGCTTTTAGCCACTGACTTGCGGCAGCCAAGGAAAGGGTTTTAATGGCAGAATACTTTTTATGACAAAAATATTTTATTCTAGCATGCTTTTATTTATTTATTTATTTTAATTCACTGGTTATTTTAGCGTATTAAATTGCTTTTTAAAGGTTGCTATTTATTGTATTTTTAGCTGCATTTGTCTTTCAAATATTCTATAAACCACTTTGGGTCCTTTTGTTGGGAAAAAGGTGGGATATTAATAAAATGAATGAATGATTGAAAGTCTCAGGTTTTGGAATCCGAGTTTGGCTAGTTCAAGTTCTTTCAAGAGTCCTTCCATTTGCAGGTTTTGATTGGTGTTGAGATCACAACTTGGCATGAGTATTGATGTGGGAATTGTGTAGTTGTTCAGAATGGTGTCATAGGCACTGTGTAGTTGTTCAGAATGGTGTCATAGGCACTGCCCAATAGTCTCTGTCTCTAACTCTCATAGCACCACATTTTAGATAACTCTCCATATCTCACTAGTGAAGAAAGAATTACATTTTCCCCAAAACTACTTGATTCCAGGGTCTGGCATTTAGACCGCATTTGACAAGTTCAGGGTAAATATTTTTGTTCAGTCGTTATTTCAGTGTGGTGGCCAAATCACTGCCTTTTGGAGCAATCAGTGCAGGGTGGCTATGAGGATAAAGTGAGGCAAAGTTATCCCATAATGTGCCAAAAGTCTTTAAACTAGAATGGGGGGAAATGTCTAAATAAATAGAAGCAATCTCATTGACTGTGCAAATTTACACCACTAATCCAGAGATCTCTGGCCCCCACTGGCTAGCTGAGGTACAACAACCCAAAATCTGTTTATGATGTATTTCAAGGAAGAGAGAATCTGTTTCCACCTTCCCTAGGTGTGTTTGTCTACCTCCACAATGCTAACTAGTAGATTTAAAGGTGATAAGAGTGAAGTTTTAAGTTAGACAGGAAGTGTCAGCTGCTTATGAGTGAAGATGGCATCTGATAGATGGTATGTACTCATGTTCCATTTCAGAATATTAAAAAGAGCTGTTTCATATGCCTCCTCTGTATATTGCAAATCATATGCTGAGGAAGGTCTAGTTCTTTTTCAAATACATGCTTTAGTTCTTTTGCCTAGTTTGCAGTTCTTTTCATGCCATCAGATGTGTGTGTTTTTCCCTCCGCCATCAGTAACTGAAATATATTTCTAAAATGCTTGTTTGAAGAGATTTGGCAACAATGACAGCAATAGCTGAAATGAGAGCCAACATTTACTATAATTGTTAATGAACAAATAATTGCCTTTTTTGGAAGGTTTTGATAATTAGGGTAGTTGTTCTGCTTTGTTCTGTTCTGTTCTGTTTTAGTTTTAATCTGATCTTTCCTTTCATCCCTTTTTCGGAAGATAACCCTAGACCACAAACTCTGCTTTATCCAGTCAGGGCAAGCTTTATCTCAGCACTCTTGATAACCCCATTAAAAGAGAGAGAGAGAGAGCGAGAGAGAGAGAGAGAGAGAGAGAGAGAGAATCAAGTGACTGACAATCTAGTAAGATGGGTATAACTGCTTCTATAAAGTAGATATGGGTCAGTTAAAGTTCCTTCCGTGCTGCTGATGGGGCATTTTCCAAGTTGTAAATATAGAACAGTCTGAGTTTTTTTTAAAAAAAATCCTTGCTTTTTAAAATATACATATATTATTATGCTGCAGGTAGGCAGTGCCTTGAGAGGTTGAGATAGGAATGTGAGCCAATGAGACAGTAGACTTTGGCCAGCAACTGCTCTCTTTATAAACTGTAGCTCCCAGGCCACCAGGATAGCTCTCTGAATCCTTCATTGTCTGAGAAAGGAGGAGGAGGTGAGTGAAAGGAAACTGGAGCTGAAACTTTCCATTCTCTTTACAGTTTCTTGGGTATTTACTTGCCAGGTGCTCCCCTGGTTGGGCACAAGACACAGTAGTATTATAAAAAAAACAAAGTAGCACTAGAGAATGTTTTATTCTTAAGGACCAAACACACTAAGGGCAAGAAATTCTTGTTAGTGAAGGTATCTAGGGTTTAAAAGCACTTTTTAAAAAGGCTAGATGTTGGGTTGGATTTCATTCTTTTTTAAAAAAGATGTTCCTTCTTTTCTTAAATCAATACGTCTTCTTTTTAGCCACTGGAACAACATACAGTTAAAGTAAACCTATCACTGCATCTTCAGGGTCTTTTGTTAAAAATATGGTTTCTGCAAATAATTTGTTTAGATGCAATGAGACAAACAGGCTACTTCAGTCTTATGTTTTTAGCTCAATATATGAGTAGACAGAAGTCTCTGAGTTCAGGGGAATGGCTTTTTATATTAGATTTGCATTCTTTCTGGCTTGAAGAGGTCATTGTGCTTACTTTCTTTAGATTCTTTACTGGGAATATATTATATATATTTTAAAATTATTATTATTCGAGCTGTTTGTTCTTTGTATGCTTTTTGAAGGCAAAAAGAGAAATCCGCTAACATGATGCTTTTATCTGGATCTCTACCTGTTGATGAGAGCGAGAAGGCTTTTGAATTATACAAAAATCTTGTTTAGTGATGCAATTAGAAAAAAACAAGATACATATTTAACCTTTCAGTATTGTATTTCACCTCTCTTGCATTAGAATTGTAGGGCTAGCTAAATTTAAAGGTTCTTTCTTTCTTTCTTTCTTTCTTTCTTTCTCTCTCTCTTTCTCTCTCTCTCTCACTCTTTCTCTCTCTCTTTCTCTCTTTCTCTCTCTCTTTCTTTCTTTTCCCAAATCTCAGGGATGCTGGTGAAGCAAGAAAAACTAGTCTTAGCAACTTTAAACCGGCACAAACATTATTCAGAATTATAACATGTTCCGTCATGCAAAGTGCTTATGCCAGTGACATCCCATGGAGTTTTGGGACAAAGAGGCTGCAGGGAAAACACATCCAACTGCTAATTAATTATGACAAACTTTTAAAAAGCCAAGTCTTCCAGTATGATACTGTGATAGTTAAGATGGGATCTCATTTGTTACGAAGCTGTCTTACCTTGGAGCTGTTAAGTGATTTATATAACTTCCACAGTTTCTCTAACAGTTTTTAAATATGAATTTGGAAACAGCAGGTTTTGTGTATTTATATTGACTCTGATTTGTATTTTCACCTGTTATATATTTGTATCTTTACTATATTTTTGTTTGCCAAATGCTTTATCAAGCAAGAGTGAACAACTGAATGACAGATTGAGTTTAGATTATGAAGAACTTGCTTCTTTTCCTTGCTCAAAGGAAGAGGTTGCTATATGACCCATAAACTAGCCTTATCTCTCAAACTAACTTAAATCTGAGGATTGCCGTGAAGATAAATGGGACAGGGAGATTTATGTTTCCTAGAGTTCATGGTGAATATTGTGTGGTTAATAAACAGTTAAACCAAGGCTCACATGGGCCTTCTGAAATAAATTGTTATTAGCCCCATTTTATAGATATAGAAATTATAGCTGAAGAAGAATGGCTTTTCCAACCCCAATCTAAAGCTGAACTAGATGCTATAAACTTGTTGCTACAAATTACTTTTCTTTACAAGTTAAAAGTCATGTAATTATAATCCTATGAGTTTTTCTAATCTCCCATACTTTGCTTCGCTTTATGTTTGATATCAGGGTAGAGTTAAACACCAGTTTAGAATAAAATAAATTTACACATGAGATGCCATTTACATACAAGATGTTATTGATTCTTACATTTGATTCCAGAGGGCCAATTATGACAGTGTGTTGGGGGGAGGGAAAGGAATTTGGAAAGCAGGATTGCTGATGTAAGCTCCAGTGAGAGGGAAGGATCAGCCTTACCAGTAAAGACAGTGATGTAGCTCCCTCAGGCGACAGATTCTATGGTATGAAGAGGACATGTTGGATGAGTTGTGTTGTGTTACATAGAGTTGTGTTACATAGCCTGTCCTATGTTCCCTAAGTGGCCCTGCTGTACCATGGTGGAAGTTATAAATACAGTGCCTCCAGAGCTGAAGTGAAATCTGAGTGGCAGTCTGGTCAGGTCTTGTACATGAAATGAGATGGAATACCATCTTGTCCTTTAACTGAAACTGTAAATGTCATGGTTTGCTGAGTGAGATGCCGTGGCATAGGGGACAACGATAATCTTGGCTTGAGGTGGTCTGGGTTCAGAGGGTAAAATAGCCACAAAGTTCACAGGGTCATTTTAGGAAAGTCAATGTATTTCAACCAAACCCATATCAAAGGATTGCTGTGAGATTAAAAATGTGTGAATCCCTTGCCTACACTCTGAATATTCTGAAGAAAATCTAGAACACTAAGTATGCTATATAACAAACAATAAAGACACAAACTACTATCCTTCGGTATACACATATATTTTCACAAGAGCCTCTCTGACAATCAAGAAATATATGGCTTGTAAATGTTTTACCACCCTGTTTTCATGCTATTGTATTGTATTGTATTATATTATGTTTCCTATTGTATTTTGTGGTACTTTGTTTTGATCTTTTTAATTTGATATTGTTATATTTTGTGATTCTATTGTTCTTACTATTTAGTTGTAAATTGTTCAGAGTGGCCTTGACTGCCAAATGGGTAGTATAGAATGAATGATTGAATGAATGAATGAATGAATGAATGAATGAATGAATAATAATAATAATAATAATAATAATAATAATAATAATAATAATAATAATAATAATAATAATAATAATAATAATAATAATAATAACAACAACAACAACAACAACAACAACAACAACAATAACAATAACAACTACTACTACTACTACTACTATTATTATTATTATTATTATTATTATTATTATTATT